ACTCAGAGGGTCTCTCTTCTGGCGGACATGCTAGCACTAGACAAGTGGGGATCCCCTCTCCCCCTCTCACCCTCTCCCCCTCTCCCCCTCTCTCTCTCACTCACCCTCTCTCTTTCTCTGCGGACGCAGGTATGACAAGGAGGTGCGTGCGGACGCAGGATCGTATGAAGGAACTGGGACTGCTGCTGCTGCGACATGCTAGCGGCTATAGGAGTGGGAGATCCCACGCGACCAGCGGTCGTCATCAACGTAAGCTGGGCGAGGGAGCGTTCGGCACCGTCTACGGGGGCGAGGCTTTCTGTCGACCACATCGGGCTGGGTCGCGGTCGCCGGTCGAAGACGTTGAAGGTCGCGCTCGAGCGAGCCGAGGAGAAGAAGGTGAGAGGGGAGGCGCTCGGGCGAGGGGAGGTGCCAGGGGAGGGAGGTGCCGGGGGAGGGAAGGGTGCCAGGGGAGGGGAGGTGCTGGGGGGAGGACCTGGGCGAGAAGGGGAGTTGCGGGGGGGAGGGTCTGGAGGAAAGGCATAGGGAGAGGAGGGAGGTGCGGGGGAGGGACTGGGAGAGGAGGGGAGGTGCCGGGGGAGGGACTGGGGGAAAGGCATACGGGGAGGAGGGGAGGTGCCGGGTGGATGGGAAGGCCAGTCGAGTGTGATGGCTGTTATCAGGGGTGGTCAAGGTGGGTCTCTATTTCTTTCTGTTCTCTCTTTCTCTTCTCTCGCTGTCTATCTCTCGCTGTCTATCTGCTCTCTCTCTCTCTCTCTGCTCTCTCTTTTCTTTCTCTCTCTCTCTCTCTCTCTCTCTCTCCTCTCTGCTCCTCTCTCTCTCTCTCTCTTTCTCATCCTCTTCTCTCTCTTTCTCGCTTAGCCATCACTGTACTCGCTGAGTATTTTTATACAGAGACTCTGCCGATCTAAGAACATGTTCGGTCCGAGGGGTTGTTCATAAGTCGATTTGTTCATAAGTTAAACATATGTACGTACGTATACGCAGTATTGTACAGTAGTGTAGTATATGTAAGCTGTGAACATCGAGTAACCTAGAAGTGTGACATAGTGTAAACATACGTGACCACGGCAGGCAGTTGCAAAAGTCAAAATCAGGGGGGCGATTGTTGTCTTTTATTGACATGATTGACATTATACACTAATGGACTTCAGGGCAAATTGTTCGTATCATCGAAAGTTTGTAACTCGAACGTTTTTGTAAGTCGGGGAGTCTCTGTAGTGTTCGTCTATTTGCTCTAATTGTACTACAGATCATAGCTCTTGGCCAACTGTGTTAAACCTGTCCGGTTTGTTTGCGCACGCGCCGTCGTGCGATACACACATAGCCCTACGTTCTTCTATGTGACTCGATGCTCACTGAGTGATTCGGTGTTTTACCTTGTGCTGCCTAGGGAGAAGGCGATTCTAACTGCACATGAAGGTATTACGGACCGTCGCTGAGTCGTATTGTTTTTTTTTGTGCGCGTTTTTTTTGTCCCCCCGCCCCCTCCCCGCCCCCCCCTCGCGTATCGGCGAAGCTCTGTACCGTCTGTGTGAGGAGCCCTGCGCGCTGCCAGCCCGCCTCTGCTGAGCTTGCCCGCAGTAAACTAGGGGGCGCGTGTTAGCGACTGTCCGGTGACGCGTATGAGGGCGCTGTGTTAGTTTGTCCTGTGAGCGTAGAGGGCCGCTGTGTTTAAGCTTGTCCTGTGACAATAGAGGGCACTGTGGTTAGCCTGTCCTGTGAGCATAGACATTGTGCTCCTAAAGCTGATTCATTCATACGTTGACCATACGGGATATTTTTTGCTTTTTAACAATGTTGTTTTTTAATACAAAGGAATGTTTTATTTTTATATACGACGTTGTGTAACTTTCGTGGGCCATTTTAAGTCGACGTAACTGACGTCAGCAGCCGTGAGTGGCGTGACCTCCCGTAGTCGCTGTGTCGTTTCGAAGCTCCGTCGTCCAGTCTATCAACGTAGCAGTGCTGGTGACATCTGGTGGCAAATAAAGGTGCCAAATCATTGGGCTGTACTTCCTCCCATCGCAACCATGTTCGCTGATACCTCCGCTTCCGATACCTCCGCTGCCGATACCTCCGCTGCCGATACTTCCGCTACCGATACTTCCGCTCCCGCGCATTGTAGGAGCCGTGTTCCAATCTCTGTGTGGGTAATTTTTTTGTATCAATATCTCATCGACGCGCCGGGGGTTGGACGTGGATTTTATCGATTATATTTGCCACTTGTTGTTCTTCCCGCGTTCCCGCGCACACGGGCTCCAGTATTTATATCAGTTGTTCACGTCTGGTGGTGCTGCGTGCGCATGCGCGTGGCCCACCGAGCCTGCAGCCCCGCGTAGTGGTGAGATACGTTATCCTCGTTCGTCATCCCTATATAGTTAGGGCCAGCATTGAAATTCCCAACACCCCCGACCACCCACCACCTATCCCACCCACCACCTACCCCGACCCCACCCACCACCTAGGATGCAAGGGCGGAAGCAAAGATCTGTTCTTAGCAGTTGACAGCGGGCAGTCCGTCATTGACCATGTAACAGTATCTTCATCAGCCTGGGTGGTGTAACTGCGACTTCACCCCCCCCCCTACTCAGCTCACTACGGCTCTGGAGGGGTCATCTGCTCCTGACCTCTGACCTCTGACCTATGTACCGGACATCCGCCACTCATACGCTATGCGAACTCTCTCCTAATGTCTAGTGTTATTGCACGACTGGTTTACATATAATAGCATGATAGACGATGATGATGATGATGATGATGATGATGATGATGATGAAGGTATTACATGTAGAGCAGTGTATTACACGTCTATGCGTTCGTACCTGGGGCGCGACACGTCCAGGAATATAGAGCATGCGAAATAGCGAGCGCAATATGAGAAGTGTGAGTCTCGTGTTTCTACTAATAGCTGTAGTCGATTCCTGCGTGTAGCCGCCACCACCTCTACAGTAATGGCCACCTGTCTATAGGGGATACGATTGACCCATTAACGGACACGTGTATGTAGGGGATACGTTTTGGGCGTTTCACTTCGCGTGGTGGCGCTTATATTCCTGTTTGACTGCGTGTTAACGGCTAGCTCTACCTGTTTACCCCCTCCCTTCCTCCCTCTTCGCTCAGCAACAGGAACTACTGCTGCATAGGTAGAGCTAGTCGGTGCTAGGTTGGCGCTTGGCGTCGCTAGGGGGAGCCTGTGTTGCTATCGTGGTGCAGGTGGCTCTCCCTAGCGGCTTCCAGACGAACAGCTAGCGTCATGGAGCTGTACATATTACAGCCTACATTGTACCGTGTGTATTACATAGTATTATGTATATAACATAGTATTGCGTACGTTGCATAGTATTATGTGTATAACATAGTATTATGTATATAACATAGTATTGTGTATATAACATAATATTGTGTACGTTAGATTGTATTATGTGTATAACATAGTATTTGGAAGGAGCGATGTGATGGCTGTTATCAGGGGTGGTCAAGGTGGGTCTCTATTTCTTTCTGTTTCTCTCTCTCTTTCTCTCGCTGTCTATCTCTCGCTGTCTATCTCTCTCTCTCTCTCTCTCTCTCTCTCTCCCTCTCTCTCTCTCTCTCTCTTTCTCTCTTTCTCTCTCTTTCTCGCTTAGCCATCACTGTTACTCGCTGAGTAATTTTTATACAGAGACTCTCCGACTTAAGAACATGTTCGGTTCCGAGCGGTTGTTCATAAGTCGATTTGTTCATAAGTTAAACATATGTACGTACGTATACAGTATTGTACAGTAGTGTAGTATATGTACGTGTGAACATCGAGTAACCTAGAAGTGTACATAGTGTAAACATACGTGAACACAGCAGTTGGCAAAAGTCAAAATCAGGGGGGCGATTGTGTCTTTTTATTGACCAATATTGACATTATACACTAATGGACTTCAGGGCAAATTGTTCGTATCATCGAAAGTTTGTAACTCGAACGTTTGTAAGTCGGGGAGTCTCTGTAGTGTTCGTCTATTAGCTCTAATTCGTACTACACGATATAGCTCTCGGCAACTGTTTAAACTGTCGGTTTGTGCGCACGCGCTTGTGCGATACAACATAGCCCTACGTTCTTTATGTGACTGATGTCACTGAGTGATTGGTGTTTTACCTGTTGCTGCCCAGGAGAAGGATCTAGCCCTGCACATGAAGGTATACGACCGTCGCTGACTCGTACGTGTGCGCTTGTCTCGTATCGCGAAGCTCTGTACTCGTCTTGTGAGAGCCCTCCGCTGCCAGCCGCCTCCTGCTAGCTTCCCGCAGTAAACATAGGGGGCGCTGTGTTAGCCTGTCCCGTGAGCGTAGAGGGCGCTGTGTTAGTTTGTCCTGTGAGCGTAGAGGGCGCTGTGTTAGCTTGTCCTGTGAGCATAGAGGGCACTGTGTTAGCCTGTCCTGTGAGCATAGAGGGCGCTGTGTTAGCTTGTCTTGTGAGCATAGAGGGTGCTGTGTTATCTTGTCCTGTGAGCATAGAGGGCGCTGTGTTAGCCTGTCCTGTGAGCGTAGAGGGCGCCGTGTTAGCTTGTCCTGTGAGCGTAGAGGGCGCCGTGTTAGCTTGTCCTGTGAGCGTAGAGGGCGCCGTGTTAGCTTGTCCTGTGAGCGTAGAGGGCGCCGTGTTAGCCTACAGCTTGAGCATAGAGGGCGCCGTGTTAGCCTGTCCTGTGAGCATAGAGGGTGCTGGGTTATCTTGTCCTGTGAGTGTAGAGGGCGCTGTGTTAGCCTGCAGCGTGAGCGTAGAGGGCGCTGTGTTAGCCTGCCGCGTGAGTGTAGAGGGCGCCATGCTACCCCCTGCACGCAAATGTAGAGGGCGCTTTAAGCAGCTGTGTGTGGCTTGGGCTGTTATTGCGTTGTTAGCAGGAGGGTGTGTAAGGGGGAACATACAGCTCCAAGACACCTGCTGCCCTCTAGTGGGTGGGTAGCGCCGTGCACTCTGTCGAGACTGCACTAGCTTTGCTCACCGTTCACTTGTTGTTGTCGCTGTGCAGCGTAAACCCCACCAGGGGGCGTCGTGTGCGTCTCAGAGACACAGTGCTGCCGTCTGTGTAGACTGGGCCCAAGGGCTGAGCAGCAGCATGTAAAACACATAACGCAGATCGTTTGTCGCCAGTCTACAAGTTTTCGTCAGCGCTTTCACTGCGTGTTCGTCGCACTTGCGCACTGCCGCCCGTAAGCCCCTTGCGCATCGTCACGGCAACCGCGCCGCCTTGTGTTTCAGCTGGACTTTCTGAGCGAGGCGGAGATGATGAAACGCTTCGACCACAAGAACATCGTTCAGCTGCTGGGCGTGTGCACGCGCGGCGAGCCGGCTTACATGGTCATGGAATTCATGTTATATGGTGCGTAGCGCCCCCTGTTGTCGAACTCAGATTGTAGCGCCCCTGTAATCAAACTCAGATTGTAGTGCCCCCTGTTGTCGAACTCCGATTGTAGCGCCCCCTGTAATCAAACTCGGATTGTAACGTCCCCTGTAACTAAACTCAGATTGTAGCGCCCCCTGTAATAAAACTCGGATTGTAGTGCCCCCTGCTGGTCAGTTTAATGTTCGCCCAGTACAAACCTGCATTCATTTACCATGCTAAACGCAGTGGCTCCCCCTACAGGTGACCTAAAGACGTATCTCCTCGCTCGGCGCCACCTGGTGCACGATGCCGACTGCCAGGAGGCGTCGGACATCACGCCGCGTCGTCTCACACAGATGGCGCTGGATGTCGCGTGCGGATTAAGCTACCTCGCCGATATTAAATATGTACACAGGTGAGAAGGCTGCTCCGTTGTTTTTAGTTTGATTTGTTGATTATGGTTGTTGTTTTTCTCTGGTTATTTTCTCGTATTGGTTTTTTACAGTTTCTGTTAAAAGTGCATTCTTATATATATATTGTAATTACAATATATATATATATTCTAATTACAATAATTAATAATGCACTTTAAAAAAAAATATATATATATATACATATAGATATATATATATATATGTTAACATATACAATGGTTATTATTATTATCATTATCATTATTGTTGTTTTTGTTGTTGTTGTTGTTGTTTAAACACACTGACGTTGCGTCTGACAATGATGCAGGGATATAGCGTCTCGTAACTGCCTCGTCAACGCTAGCCGGGTCGTCAAGCTCGCTGACTTCGGCATGTGTCGTCCCATGTTCGACTCCGACTACTACAGGTTCAACCGACGCGGTGAGTCCGCGACGCACGCAGCATCTTCCTCCTGAAGCCCTACACGAAGTCCAACAACATCGTTCCGCATCATTGAACGAATTGCACATACAATAAATTGCACAAACAATAAATTGCACAAACAATAAATTGCACAAACAATAAATTGCACAAACAATAAATTGCACATACAATAAATTGCACAATCAATAAATTGCACAAACAATAAATTGCACATACAATAAATTGCACAAACAATAAATTGCACATACAATAAATTGCACAAACAATAAATTGCACATACAATAAATTGCACAAACAATAAATTGCACAAACAATAAATTGCACAGAAAATCTCTAAACAAACAAAGCAATAGATCTTCCCACATCCCTAAATGCATCCTCCTCTGTATCGCTAAACGTAGCCCTGCACAGTTTCTCGCATCTCCAAACGAGGCGCAGCATCCTCCCACGCGCATCTCTAATCGAAGCCACCCAAGCGGAATCTGCAACTAGAGTCTAATCATCCGCAATAATCGTAACCTAATCATAAACATAACCGTAACCTAAACACGTGCTAACGATATCTTAATTAGAGCATGATTGACGTTTAACGCGAATAATCAACTAATCTCGCAAACGTCCGCGATTAAGCAACGATCGACGACAACCCCCCCCCCTCCCTCCTTCACACAACCGCAACCTCCTTCTAAACGAGCGATTAAGCAATGCGGCGGTCGTCGTCTTCACGAGCGTTTGCCGTGGCGATTGCAGGGATGCTGCCCGTGCGGTGGATGTCGCCGGAGAGCCTCAGCGACGGCGTCTTCTCTCCCGGCTCGGACGTCTGGTCGTACGGCTGCTACATCTGGGAGCTGGTCACCTTCTGCAGCTTCCCCTACCAGGGCCTCTCCAACAACGAGGTGCTCACCTACGTCAAGGACGGAGGCTGCCTCGACATACCCGACCGGTGCGAGATGCCAATGTGAGTATGTTGTTGTTGTTGTTGTTGTTTTCGGTTTCTTTATTTTATACTGGACTCAAGGGTTTAAATCAGTGGAAACCCACTCCAGGAATCTGGCTCGGTCCAGTTTTGGCAGCTCTCACGCTTGTTCTCCATGGGACACGATCCAAGGGGTCTACAGCGGAGAGATTCCACTGTTCCCTATCCTTCTTCACAACCTCCTTCCAAGACATCTTCGGCCTCCCACGTCTCCTTACACCAACAACTCGAACTTCACCCACTGTCTTGATGGCACCGGTGGAGCGCTGAACATGGCCATACCAGCGGAGTGGAGTCTTCTCTCACGTATCAGGGAAAAAATTTCCTTTTTTTACACGGAGCTCTTTTTCCGAAGTCTGTGGGAAAAATTGCTCTCGTCAATAATTTTACGGGAGCTATTTCGAGCCTCACGGGAAAGCGATTTCGGAGGTTTGAAGAGCGAATCGCTCATCGCTCCCGTGTATTTTTTGCCCTGGTGAGTATTGCCCCCGCCGCCCCGCCTCGTGCTTGACATCGCGCCCCCGCCACACCCCTCCCCTGGCTCAGCCTGCTGTACCACCCCGTGGGAGAGCAGACACACACTGATGCGTAGTGTTACATGCGTTATATCAAGAGCGTATTAAGTAGCAGTCAAGAATAGTATGATTTTAATTGATTTTTGACATTGATGAAATTGCCCTGCCCCAGTCATGTGCCCCTCCCCGCCCCGCCCCAGCCTGGCCCGCCCTGCTCCGCCCCGTCCCGCACGATATCACGCGCGTTACCACTCGATAGTGTAGCGGACGTAGTGATATAGTTGTAGCATCGTGTCGTAAGGCAGTCTGTAATGTGTAAGTATCGTAAAGTTTAGAACCCCTGACCCCTGACCTCTGACCCCTGACCTTTGTCTTGCAGGGTGAAGCTGTTGTGTGCGTGCTGGGAGTGTGACTCCTGACCTATGACCTCTGACCCCCTGACCTTTGTCTTGCAGGGTGAAGCTGATGCATGCGTGCTGGGAGCGCGACCCCATGCTGCGTCCTAACCTCTGACCTCTGACCTCTGACCTCTGTCTTGCAGGGTGAAGCTGATGCGTGCGTGCTGGGAGCGCGACCCCACGCTGCGTCCTATCCTCTGACCTCTGACCTTTGTCTTGCAGGGTGAAGCTGATGCGTGCGTGCTGGGAGCGCGACCCCACGCTGCGTCCTATCCTCTGACCTCTGACCTTTGTCTTGCAGGGTGAAGCTGATGCGTGCGTGCTGGGAGCGCGACCCCACGCTGCGTCCTATCCTCTGACCTCTGACCTTTGTCTTGCAGGGTGAAGCTGATGCGTGCGTGCTGGGAGCGCGACCCCACGCTGCGTCCTATCCTCTGAGGGGACGAGAGAGAGACAGGAGAGAGAGAGGAGAGAGAGGAGAGGAGAGAACAGCGTTGCAAAAGAGAGTGATGAGAGAGAGAGAGAAAGAGCGTGCAAAAGAGTGATGAGAAAGAGAGAGAGAGCGTGCAAAAGAAAGTGAGAGAGAGAGGAGATCGAGAGAGAATGAGCACTGAGACGAGAGAGAGAGCGAGCGTGGCAAAAAGAGTGTGAGAGAAGAGAGCAGAAGAGAGAGTCGAGTGACGTGCGCACGTGCGCTAAAGAGAGAAAACTAAAAGACAAAACAGGCGGCATGGTGTTCTAGAAATTGTATTTTATTCATGGCATAGAAACCAGTATTTACATATACTACAGATTAGTTGAAATAATCGTGAGCAAACGCGGCATGTCGTATAGTAGCCCTTCGTTTCAATTACACATCTCATCTGTACGTCATCAGTGTACATCGCACGACGCATGCGCAGGTGCCAGTCGCGACAGCTACGAGTCAAAATGGGCACTGATGACGACGCTGCATAAGATAACACAACAAGACAATGCAACACGGCATGGCACAATGTAAGATTGAATAACATGACGCTAGTAATACATTACGCCTCCTATGTATTCATACACAGCCACAATGTAATGTATCACGACGATTCTAATTTAGATACATAATGATACTAATGTATTTATACACCACATGGCACATGGTAGCGTGACAACGATAATTATGTAATGAACATTATTACTATGATTACTAGAATATCACTATGTAACGCAACGTACACAAGACTATGTTTATACACATAATACTATGATACGAACAAATAGTTATGTAATACACACAATATTTATGTTATACATATAGCCTATGTTATACACATAATACTATGCACACGTACGACAGAATACATGGTTATAGTACCATAAATACTATGTAATACACACGGTTACAATGTAGGCATGTTTTCTTTTTTTTTTTTTTAATAATGTACAGCTCCATGACGCTTAGACTGTTCGTCTGAAAGCCGCTAGTGGGAGAGCCACCTGCCCACCACGATAGCCAACACAGGCTCCCCTAGCGACGCAAGGCGCCAACCTAGCACCGACTAGCTCTTACTATGCAGCAGTAGTTCTGTTGCTGAAGCGAAGCAGGGAGAGGGAGGCGGGAAACAGGGTAGAGCTAAGCCGTTAACACGCGAGCAAACAGGAATATATAGCGCGCACCACGCGAAGTGAAACGCCCAAAAGTGATCCCCTACATACACGGTCCGTATAATGGTCAATCGTTCCCCTAATAGACAGGTCGCATACTGTAGAGGCGCTGGTGGCGGCTACACGCCAGGAATCGAACCTAACAGCTATTAGTAGAAACACAGAGACGTCACCTTCTCATATTGCGCTCGCTATTTCGCAGTGCTCTATATTCTGACGTGTCGCGCCCCCGGTACGAACGCATACGACGTGTAATACACTGCTCTACATGATAATACCTTCATCATCATCATCATCATCATTCATCATCATCATCATCGTCTATCAATGTATTATATGTAAACCAGTCGTGCAATAACACTAGACATTAGCGGAGAGCAGTTCGCATAGCGTATGAGGGCGGAATGTCGGTACAAGGTCTAGAGGTCAGAGGTCAGGAGCAGATGACCCTCCAGAGCCTGTAGTGAGCTGAGTAGGGGGGGGGTGAAGTCGCAGTTACACACCCAGGCTTGATGAAGGATACGGTTACATGCGTTCAATGACGGACTTGCCCGCCTTGGATTCAACTGCCTAAGAACAGAATCTTTGCTTCGCCCCTTGCATTCTGAGTGGTGGGTGGGTCGGGCGTAGTGTCGGTGGGTGGGATAGGTGTGGTGGGTGGGTCGGGGCTGCGGTGTTGCGGATTTCAATGCTGGCCCTACTATATAGGGATGACGAACGAGCGAGAACGTATCTCACCACTACGCAGGGCTGCAGGCTCGGTGGCCACGCGCATGCGCACGCAGCACCACCAGACGTGAAGCAACTGATTAAATACTGGAGCCCGTATGTGGCGGGAACGCGGCAAGAACAACAAGTGGCAAATATAATCGATAAAATCACGTCCAACCGCCCGGCGCTTGTCGATGGATATTTGATACAAAAAAATTCACCCACACAGAGATTGGAACACGGCTCCTACATGCGCTGGGAGCGAAGTATCGGTAGCGGAAGTATCGGCAGCGGGAGGTATCGGCAGCGGAGCGTATCGAAAAGCGGAGGTATTCAGCAAACATTGGTTGTGGGCAGTGAAGTACAGCCCAACTGATTGGCACCTTATATTTTGCCAGCCAGATGTCACCTACACTCGCTACGTTGCATAGATGGACGGACGGAGCTCTCGAAACGACACAGCGACTTACGGGGGAGGTCAGCGCCACTTCACGGCCTGCTGCACGTCAGTTACGTCGACTTAAAATGGCCACGACAAGTACACAACGTCTTTATAAAAAATTAAAACATTCCCTGTGTGTATTAAAAAACAACATTGGTTAAAAAGCAAAAAAATATCCGTATGGTCAACGATACAATGAATCAGTCTTAGGAGCACAATGGATTACGTGTGTCTCTCGCACGCACATACACACAGATACAAAAGCAGCGCTACACACACACCACACACCACACACACACATAACTACACAAATACGCACGCACACACAGATACACGAGCACACGCGGCGCCGCGCACACACATACACAAGCGACGCACGCACACACAGATATACGAGGCGCCGCACACACAGATACACGGAGCAACGCTACGCCACACAGATACCGCGAGCCTGCACCACACAACATACACAGAGCACGCACGACACACATACACGAGCCCGCACGCACACACAGATATACGAGCAAGCAGCACACAACATTATACGAGCGCGCACGG